CCTTTATTTTTATTACATGATCATGTATTAAAAATAAGGTTTCGTTAAAGCAGTATTTAATAGCGAATAAAATTGGGGAATTCCATCGATATATACTTCTTATGGAGTTGCACCCAATGAAAAGGGATGAGAATCCAAACCCTAATAAAAAATATTTATAAATAAATAATAAACATATATTCAGACAATACATTTTTATTATCAAACCTTATGTACAAATAATCGGAACTTGAATGCAAATTATATAAATGTTAATGTATAATTCTGACATGTCCAAACTTATTCTTGCTTGATACTACATTAAAATTTAGGATCCGCCTTACTTCACCGATAATCATTTCACGACAGCTCATTACTCCAAGTGACTATTTACTTAAAATATATACAACTGATAAAACTCTAACCCTAACTCTTATGTGATGTCGGCTAATGAGCTGTCGGTGAAGTGAACAATACCGAAAATTTCTTTATGTTTTGTATTGAAATTCCGTTGTAAATCTTTATATAACTAATATAGTTCAATCTATGAGAACTTTCAATTTTACAGTACATTTGCTTTACACACTCCAAAGTATTGATACATTTATTTTTTTTTTTAATGTTACAAAGAAAAACGTAAATTTCAACTTTCGGATATTCCACTTCACGGAGTACGGATTACCGGTTCCTGAAAAATCCGGTCCCATGATAATAACATGTGATTGGTCACTCCTTTGTATACAATATTTAACTGTAGATCATCTATGAGTGAAAACCTGAAACCTATAGTAAATCATTATGCAGCTGCAAGTTTTTACTCTCACGCACTTATATTGCTTCAGGGGCTAAGCCATAGAGGTGGGGCTGCGTAAAACCGGAATTATAGCAAGCTATGCAGCCTGTATATAACTTAAAATGACGAAAAATTCATACTAGACTGCATATTATTTATTTTATATAATAACACATCATATTGTACGTAATAGATCTATTAAAAATTCTTTTCCATTTGAGGAATGGGCTAGGAAAACCCACCGTTTGGCATTTTATGGGCAATTTTAAGACTTTTAATTCGAGTTAAAGTATCGGTTTTTATTTATATGCAATACAATTTTTTATTATAAATTAGCTTAGTAACATTAGCTTAGTAAATTTGAGATTTTTTTTATATATTTCAGTATAAATCAAGTCTTCAAAGATATAATGCTCTAAAAATAGAATAATAACCAATCAGGAGATTATTTCAAGCATGTGGCCTAGTTTGTATAAAAAATTTATAAAAAATATCTATAAATAAATCAGAAATCTGGAATTGAAATTTTGTGTAACGCAATCTTTTAATCACCGAAATTATCAAACAAATGATTTTTTTTATCATCAATGTTATATTTATGATCGAAAAAAAAACATTCTTATAATTAGTAATGATTTACAATGTTTACAATTCCTTGTGAAAAATTATTCCTTATGGGGATGGGCGGGATAATCCAAGCAAAAGAAGTAAAAGGGAAATCGTACATTCTAGAAACCAATGATTTCCGGCTTCCGATTATGAATTTTATTAATATAATTTAAAAAAAAAAAATTCAGATGGTTTTTTTTCGTTTAAAAACTTTTAAGATAAGATAAATAGGCTTTTATGATGAAAATGGGTAGCATGAATGTGACATTAATATTGTGTATATTATAATATGCATATAATGTATAATGTAATGTATATAATGTATAATGTAATAATGTATATAATGTATTGCACAGTATATACTGTTTAATTAAACACGTTATCTCGGGAAATAGAACGACTCTTCATGTACAATAATAGCAACAGGACTTTCGCGTTATTCAAACGGAGTTAATGATCCGTAATTATCTCGACGATTACATTTGGTCAAATTAGAGTGTCATGAGGCAATGAAAAAAAATTTTTTAGCGCATGAATTCCACAATTACCTACCGTTTTTAAATTTATGATATATAATTTGAATTTAAAAATTAATTTGTGCGAGCTTAAGAGATGAAACAAGCATATTATTTAAGTGTATAATTTACGTGTTCGGAATTGGTTCAACGCTAACTCCTTTATTTTTATTACATGATCATGTATTAAAAATAAGGTTTCGTTAAAGCAGTATTTAATAGCGAATAAAATTGGGCATAAAGAATAAAGATTTAAATAGTTATTGTAATTAGCTATTGAATAAAGAAATTTTTGTAAATGCAATTCGAATTTCGAATATTGTATAAAAACATCCAACCCTTGATCACAAGGCACTAATATATGTCTGTTTTTTTTTCGTGATATAAAAGTTCTTTGTTACTTACTTTTGCCACAAAGTTATTTAAATAATTTATTGTTACACCTTGAAAATTCTTACCAATTAAATTCAAAAATTCCAATAGGAATTTTCCCTGAAAATGTTTGATCTTAACTTTGCAACTACTGTAGCTACATGCTTACCGATAAAAGATAACGGATGTAAAATGCTTTACCTATTATATCATCATTTAGTCTAAATTTAAATTGTATAATTACAGTCTAGTTTATATTGTTGCTTCAAACTTTAACTTGACCCCAATTAATGTATACGAAACATTTTATTATGCTATGCTTGTTATACTGTATACTTGTAATTAATATATACGAAACATTTTATTTTGGAATGCTTTTTATACTGTACGCTTGTAATTAATGCATACGAAGCATTTTATTATGCCATGCTTTTTTATACTGTAGACTTGTAAATAATGTACACTTATGAATGAATTATTGAGTTTTTTATTGGATCAAATTGTTTTTGAACCAATGAAAGAATTTACTATGACAAAAAACCTACGACTGTATAGATCGATTACATACGTGTAATTTAATTTTTATTTAAAAAATAAAATAAAAACAAAAGACCTCTGTGTTTTAATATTAAATATTAAATCAAGCTATTCAAATTTCGATTAAAATTTCATAATAATTGATCATGTGATAATATATAAATCAATGCGGAGTAGGGTAAATTTGTTTGTTTATTGATCTTCCGATATCAATTAAGCGCGGCAATCTTGAATCTTCCGCATACTTATCCCGACATGTATCTCACGTGATTTACATTTAGATGACCGAATTAGGCAAAATTAGATGAGAATTGGACAAAAGAATGGATGCTACATTGCATGTTTCAAACAAGAATACAGTTATATTATTCAAATAAATTTTACAGTAAATTATAATCAATTGCAAACATTGACAAGAATTAAATTTGATATCAAATATTATGTTATGTAAATTATCCTATTATCACCATTTAACGGATAACAATATGCATATATATGTATATATTCAGATTATATCAATTTCCTACACGCGATAACTTAAAATATCGTCGCTTGAAGTGTACTCGCGTTATCTATTAATAACTTAAACTAAGCTTTACGATAAATCACGCAAAAAATCATTAAAATAATATCGATTTATATGTAATTATATGCGCTATGTATAATATCCAGCATATATGTAAGTTTGGTTCGAATCGTGCAATTTTCTTGTTTATGTCCGCCTGATCCTCATTAAGGTGAATTTTACCGTTTATTTATCTTCGGAATATCCAGTCCGTTAAATTAAAGTAAAATAAATTTTGAGCTACAGTCGCGCTTCCGAATAGTCACGCCATCAGGACCTATAAAAAGGGTTCTTATATAGAAAATATGTTTATGTAGAAAGCAATTTTTTATATGCTTAATAGTAGTAGTTTGCTCAAGAGATAACGTGCTCATAAAGATGATAGGCTTATATAGGAGGTGTTTACATGTAGTTCGTTCAAGAAATAAAATATAGGAGGTGCTTATATGGGAGTGAGACTGTATTTGGTTCAAAAAATAAACTTGCTTATAAAGATGATAAGCTTATATAAGATGTGCTTATATGAGAGTGCGACTATAAATTGAATTTTTTTAAATTTGGTTGTATTAACTATTAGTGGTAAAGGGTTCATTAATTAATAAAATATATTCAAGCAAGATTAATTAAGTAAATAAGAATCTTTTGATTGATTCAAAATTTGGGATCTTATCAATGAATAGATAGGAATAATTACTTGAAAAAAGAAGTATATTGTATTTTATTAGATAATTTATACTAGTAATAATAACATATAGTATATAATAACTAAAGTAAAAATATAGTAACTAAAGTAAAAGTGATATATATCCGTATGTACAATATACATGTTGATCATGCAAGCTAGGTGACACACTTCTTATTCGAATTCTATTTCGTAGTTCCATATTTTTTGAATTTCACTTGTTCAACCCATTTTTAATTTGAATTATTTTCAAGCTTTTGGGGCACTAAAATAGCCAATCTACTAGTAACATAAAGAAAGGAGGGCAGTCTTCTGTGCATTGCGCACTAAATATAGCAACTTCTTTTTTTTTTTTTTTGTTGCAATTTGAATAACAATGGATTATATAAATATCATTCGTTAATACACACATAAAAAAATAAATTATTTCATTTTTATTATTTAAAGACGTTGTTATTCAAGAGTTTTTTTTATTTTTAAAAAAAAAATCTACATTACTTTTTAACCCGATAAAGTTTATAATTAACTTGATAAAGTTTATAAATGCCTCCTGCAAACCAATTTGAAGATTCAGATGAAAACTGGTCTACTTCATCCGTAGAAGAACGATTGGAACTTTCTCAGAAAAAACGAACAAAAAAGAGAGGCAAAATTTCCATCATGGCCTGTGATAAGTGTAGGAGCATGAAAAAGAAATGCACAGGCGGTGATTTCATGAGTAAAAAACCTTGCTCATATTGCACAAAACATGGTGAAGAATGTATATATTCAGATGCTAGAAGACGACGAACTGCAAACGTTCAAGATTTTCAACAATTTATTGATAGACTGGTGTTTATTGAGGATCAATTAAAAAAATTAATAAATGAACTTAGAGAATTTTTTGAATCAGCAAAAAATCAAGAAGAACCTGAATTTTTTGGCGATGATTTCAAGTTCGAAATTATGGATTTTTGTAACAAATCTTCTTGTGATTCCAATGATCAAGAAATTTCAGAAAACCCTTCAAATTCTTCGACTTATCTTTTTAATTGTAAAAATTATGAACCAGGAGAACAATTTGACGGAGAGAAGCAAGCTAATGAAATAAACAACCTTAGGCCTAAACGTAAAAATACCAAGACAAAAAAAAGAAATTACAAAAAACATAAAACCCAAGACTCGTCCTCATCAACTAATCAGCATAAAAACGTAAGAGGAACCTTTTCGACGTTGTATTTGGCACCAAGAGGCCGTCATGTTACTCATTTATTTTCCAAGGACGAAGGCATAACTAAAGACGTACAGTTTCGGTCATCGTCACCTCCTATAAACCACGCAGATCAAAATCAAGTGACAACCGATAATAACAGCCTTTGTTTCAATAATCTAAATTTGCAAGCTGTACCTCAAATATCACCTTTTCCGTCAGAGCATTTTATGTGCAACAACGTTGATGATCTCTTTCTAAATGGTATTACCGATTTCAACTTTGATACACAACTATTTTATAACGTCTGAAAATGAAGATTTTAGGACAAATCTTTTCTTTCTTTATAGTCAAAATAATTATATAAACTCAATTTTTTACTACGTGTAGTTTTCTTTTTTGCTCACAAACTATGAATAAAAATCAATAAGATTTTTTTTTTTTTTTTTGGAAAGTGTTAATTAATTAAAATATGTATATATATTATGTTATTTCATGTATTGCATTTTTTTTTCTTTTTTTGTAAAAACAATTGAAGCAAATTTTTTTTAAATAAAATCTTGTCAATTACAAATTGGTAAATAATAATGAATTCAAATTTATGAAATGAGAAGTGCATAATTTAATTTAGTTTCTACATTTTCAAATTAATGCGTTAACACAAAGTAGTATCTGATTGTAAAATCATGTTCATAAATTTATAATCAATTTTCGTACATGATGTAAGTACTCAACGTACGCACGTACGTACAATATATAGTACAGTAGTATATACCACAAATATGCGTGGCGATAAGTTGTGTTACATGAACTGTTCACACCATCAATCTTATTTCGAAATTTAACTGTTGAACAATTACTGTGTTATGGATATGAACAATAATTTTAATGCCAAGGAAGAAATATGTACACTTTTGTATCCTTCATTTAGTTTTATTGTCCAATTCATGATAAATTTGACATCACGAGCCATTTATAAATAATCAATTTATCCTAAATATTTCTTTGAAGTTACATACTGGAAACTCAAATCCATAGTGCCGCCAATAAGATCCATTGTTATGATTAACACAAAAAGATGTTTTTGTTTGTTACACCACATAACATATTATTTCCATGTCTATAAAAAATCTTGTCATACCTAGCCCATCGATAAAATAAATTTATTTTCTGTTCTGGTTTTGTCTTTTTTAAATAACAAAAACGTTATGAGCCACGAAATACAAAACAATTTGTTTCTTTAAAATTATCGTTACTTATTTACTGTAAATTAAAGAAATATAGGAAAAAAAATCTTTAATAATTTTATGTGTATCAAATTTGTGATGATTTACCTCTATACTTAGTATGTTAAGCCTGTTAAAAAAATTACAAATTGAAAATCCAACACTTATATTGGTGAAAATATCAATAAGGGAAGTGTCATTTATCATCTGATATTTTTAGCAGCCAAAATAGTCACATTACATATGTTTATATATAGTCATAATCATTTGAGGGAGGGGGGAATTTAACTATTTACAAAAAATCAGCTGATAAATGACATTTCCCTAATATATATGTTTATTTACGCGTTTATAAAGATAATCCGTTTATTATATTCATTGATAATTTACTTTATTAAAAAGTAACCAATAAATTGCACTGCAACCTAACAAAGCCTTTTTATAAATTTTATTGCTGTGCATTTTAGTAAGCAGTAGTATAAACTACACAAATCAAGCCTTCTATAATACAAAACTATTTAGTATTATTTAGTAATCTAAAATGATGATGAATATCAGGTATGACCATTTGTCGTTATCGGATTTGAAAATCTTGAGAACAACAGAAGTCCGCGTAACGTAAATCTGAATTCTAGATGGTTTAAGCTAAACTCCTTATATCTGAGAATGGTTTATATTAACTCCGTTCTAATTAAAAAGAAAGCATCATTAGAAGATAATAGAATGACACTCATGCTTCCTAAAGGAGACTGACAAACCAAATTCTTTCTTAAAATGCTCTGCTGACCCCCTGAGCTAAGTACCTGCTTTTGGAAGCCATAAGTTGGCTTATCATTGCATTATTCATGGCCTTTGAGTCATCTTTATATGTACGTATGCAATCTTTACGCATAGTATCGTTAACCGTAAGACTCTACATACATAAATCGATATAGCTCCACACCATCTATATTACATACTATTTGTTAGTTGATATAAAAAACCTGCAATAAGGCACCATGGTTCGGGTTTGGTTTGGCCTGGGTTCGCAGAACCAATAATCTTTGAACCAGAACTGAATCCGAACATAATTTTTGTCAACTTCGATTTTGATTCGAAGTTCACGGTGTTACTAGTGATGTGCCGCGTACAGTACTATACGTACAGTACTGCGTACTGTCTAAAATTTTTGCCGATCACTTGTTCCAGCCAATCAGATTCCAGAAAAGGAACTATACGTACAGTACGCTAAAAATTTTCAGGTATCATATAAATGGCACATCACTAGGTGTTACTAATAATTTTTTTGTGCCTCTTATAATTATCAGTTTCCTTATTACCTTTATAATCATTCCTTAATTTGATCATACTGTACATCCGATCGCCCTTCTATCGTCCTACCTTAACTCTATTTTTATCGTTCGTCCCTTTCCTATTTTGTTTCCTATACTCACCTATGTTATTACCATATATAGCTATCTTTTATTACTATATATGGCTATCTTTATTACTATATATAGTTATCTTTTATTATTGAATATAGTTATCCCCTTTCCTTATTTATCCGCCTATACATTTATCTTATTACTATATCCAACACCCATTCCAAATTACTCCTTGACGCGTAAAAGTACAACAGTTCATTTCACGAACAATACCGAAAATCAATAACAATCAGGCGTTCACTTATTGTTAGCCTGATGAGGGGTTAGTATAGAAGTTTCGTATTTGGGATGCAAGTCTTTAATTAGATAAAGACGCGAAGGGAAAGTGTAATTGGTGTCTGAGTGATTCTTTGTGTATATCGAATCTTTATTGTCTGACTATACTAAATATTAACTTACACTGCATTACAATGCGCACATGCTCATGCCGATTCTATACACGTACTGACTAAACCCTACATATCTATAATCTCTCATATACTCGCATACATATACAATATATACTTGATTATATTGATTACTGTCCTGAATTAGACCGGCACTTCATTCGTTCATAGCTCTCCCAAAGTCAGTAACAACGGACATATTCGGGTTCGATTATACTAAGGCCATTTTTAGTTGATTATTAGGTTAACGTCATCCCCCCCAGAGATTACCACTTCCCCCCGAAATTAAACAAGCCAATCACGACACTAGATCATTATAAGATTAAAATTGACCAATAAATTTAATCAAATACTCTGCGGCATATCCATTTAAAATAAATAATATTAGCTTGGATAAAGTAACCAAAGGTAGTTAGTGCCAGGGATAAGTGCTGCA